TGTAAAGGTATTTACTTAATCTGTTAAAATTAACTGAATCAAAACTGACGTGAAAACAAAAAATAAAAAACTTACTTGAAAATTTGAAACTATGCTTCTTATTTCTTACATCTTAAATATTGGAGGAACCTGAACTTTTCTAACACTGAATAAATTTGTTATTCACAAGAAAATCAAATCTGCACTCACAAAGCAGGGAGGCAATTTAACTGTCAAGAGCTATAGGAATGTTTATAGACATCTCAAAATACAATAAAAATGCATTTGATTAATAGGGATCCTTTATTTCTTCAAAGTGACCTTACACTATGTTTGCAAAAACAACAACCCAAAGACCATTCTCTAAGTAACATGAGCTGTTTTGTAATTCCCAAAGATGCTAAAATACGAGCATTCGTGCCTCCGCAGTGCAGTGAGCTGGCTTCACTTACTACGTATTTCTGCTGTGGCGTACTTTGGGATCATAGAGTCAGTCGTGAGCTCTGGATGAAGGATGCAGCCATGTGTGTACGCATCCATGGGCAGACCATCCAGTAGCTGACGGTACTGCTGCACACGATCGTAGAGAGGCGAGTCTGCGTCAGGGATCAGCTGAGCCACTGTGTCTGTGTGAATAAGACAAGAGCATGAAAAAGAGAAAACATTTTTACAGGAATACAAACTGGGCAAAATATATTGAATCATAATTACATGCTGCAGAGTATTATTCTGTGGACTTTTTCTTAATCTGTCCAAAACCCCCAAGGTCTCTAAGCAACCACACAAACCCAGAATAACACCGTTGTGCCAGATTCAGCTGTCAGACACATAACATGGTAACCTGGTAACAGGTGGAGGACTATAATACACCACCCGTCACGTTTGACAAAGCCTGACATACTGAAACAATCTGAAACTAAAATCCACAATAGACCTGTGGATGAATTCCTTTAGGAATTAGTTTACATCCATATCTGTTCAGGCTTATACACTCAGGTCCATAAGTACTTGGACAAACACGTGTTTGCCTCTGTACACCAAATTCTTTCCCTTAATCCAGTCACCCCGTGGCAGTGCAGGTGAACATCAGAAAAACCACAGAAAAAAACTGACCTGTGTTTAGCTTCCTTTTATTTAACAAAAATTCCACTTGGATAATTGTTTACTGGTCAGGCACGAAATGTGTAAATTCTTTCAGCTTCTAAATGTCAAGTCAATTCGAATAAAGTCACTTTTATTTTACAGTGCAACTGTGGTAATGTGACCCAAGTACATGTTTGTGCCAAATCCCTGAAAGTGTTCCTGACATACTGAGCTTTCAGAAATGGTACAGATGTTAGGGCTGGAGGTGAGGTCACAGTGACCTTGATTACCAAAATCTAACCAGTTCATCCTTCAGGTGAAGGGAACAACAA